CACCCTTGGAACTCCTCGAAATTCGTCAGCCCTGAGCCACTGTTGACAACCCTGATTGTGCACCCACTGTTACTGCAAAGGATAGTTTTCTTTCCCGCGTCTCGCTTGTTTATTCAACTGCAGGCTCTCTCGCTGCAAATTAAAAGCAACAAGAAGTCCATGCAAGGGCGGATCCAAACCCGGTTTTGTGGGGGGGGGGGGACAAGTAGGCCTACCGTAAGCAGGCTCTCCGGTGCACTTTTTCATTCACTGATCGCATCAGTCACAACGAAGTATAGCTGCTCAGAAATCATTTCCAGAATAAAATGGCTCTGTCCGTACAAAACAACCCCCCATTAAAGACATTTAATATTCTGATCTGCCCTTGAGTCTTTGTGCTTAATTTCCATGCAATTTTGTTCACCGGTTTTGTATGATGCCGCGTAAACGGGAAGGAATACTTTGCTTTCGGCACCAAACACTGCCTGCATGCTCTATCATTACGCCCATTATAACAAGTACCAGTCCTGCTAACCGACTTTCTGAATCAATCCTGAAACTGTCCTTCAAGCTCATCGTGTTGCGGCCAAGGAAAACTGAAACACAAAAACGCACCGACCAGCTCGTGTCGCTATGATTCTCGACATAACTGAGGCCCACGCATTCGTTTAAAAATCGGCCGCTTTGGTTACCTAAAATGAAAACTGAAAGACAGTGCAACCCGACACCAAAACTCTAGAAATACTTCCAATCATAGCAAGTCGATAATTTTGGGCGCCAAAAATTATTGTATAGTCAAATTTATGGACTTTGGAGTATGGTGGGCAGAAAGGAAGGTACTCGTCGTGCTGTTATCAGCGGAACGCAAAATGAAATCAGTGTCGTTGAACTTCGGTCCATTCAGGTTTCGAAGCTCAGTACTTGACGTTGCTCTCAAACAGTGCCGCTCAGCCAAGTCATCCATTTGGAATGCGCGTATACATGCATCGTTTGTTTGTTTCTTTTGGAGGGGGTACCGTACCGTACACACGACTTTGTGTTCATTCCGCGGACAATCGCGTTGTAGTTTCCGCGCTCAGTTGTGCGAGTCGACGGTGTTTACTTCTCTAGATTTCATTGCCGAGCTTCCGATTTTGCCCGGCTGAACAATCCCCGCTCCCCCCGCTGGTTGCACCGACTCTCTAAGTCAGCACTCTTCCACCTCACCGTCTCCGGTACTGACCTGATAGTATGCCATGGACGAAATATGCGGTCGCCCATGCCTGAGATGTTGGGCCTAAGTTTTCGAGCTTAATATATCGTTCCCCCGTGACATGATTCATTTGACACTGGAAAAATGCATTGTTTGCGCCAAAGTTGTATGATTTCTTGAAAAATACCTCTATGGGGACCCACGAGCCATCAGACTGTGGGACCCCTGTCATTTTTGATATGTGCAGGTCCTACATCCATCCCAAACCGAGGCTTATACCTCGTTCTGTGCTCCGGCAGTCGAGGTCTGACCCTTCCCCTCTTTTGTGTCGACATTGAAGAGTTTGCTTTGAGCAAGGAACGTTGTCTTTAGAGCTTCTAAATTTCTTGTTGCCGCTCTTTGTGACTTTTGTGTGGTTTATTACGTTGGTTTCATTTTCCCTCTTTTGACGAGATGTGGGTAAATGTGCAGTTCGCGATTGGGCAGGTTGGAAATATCTGATACAAACGATAATCAATAGTCGTTTAATTTGCGGAAGTTTTTACCTTAATGAAAGTATCGAAGTCTGCCGGTTGATAGTACATTTCGTGACATCGCTCATGACAACACAAGTAGGACGTACGACACCCATACGATGACGTCAGGCTGTCAAGTTTGGGGAAATCCCCCACTACCCATCCCCCTGAAGCACCGGTTTGTGTGTTTTGGCCTAACTGCATGTTGGATCCGTGTAGTAGTGTTGACAAACAAGGCTCGTAAGATGATGAATCTTCTTTTTTTCTGGGACCATCCTGTTGTTATTTTTTGGCAGAAAAATAATGGCCATCTCACTTCTTTTGTTTTTTGCCAGGGGAACACCTAGGTCCTGACATTTCCCTGTTACCACTTTGGAACTATATACTCACACGATTCCGCGAACGGGGCCAACCCATTTTTCTATTTGATGTTATTATTTACTGCATAGTCACCAGCGGTAGTAAATAATACGCGAGTGAGTCGACATGGAGCGTGGGCGCGCACGGCTCGCTCCACTCCAGTGAACAGAGGGTGTTTTGCGCCGGCCCTACAGCCCTGGATTTCCTGGTCACTTCTAGGCAAGCTTTTGTACCTAGATTTGAAGATCCTGTCTGTGGACACTGGACCACTTTCTGCAGGATCTTTGCTCTATGACTAAACGATTTTGCCAATTTTTGTCTGTATCATAACCGAAAACACCCAAACCACTGACGTATTTTATGTATTTCGGGATTTTTTTTGGGGGGGGGGAATTTTGGCACCAAGTCATCGCTGGATTCTTCCAAAGGTGTGCTCCGCCCTTACAAAACTTCATTATACGCGTCCACTTGAGTCAGAGCTCGAGCCTTAATAAAAATGGTGAATGATGAAGTGCCCTGCATTGTAAGATCTTCAAGATTTTCACGAGATATTAAAATAGTGCTTTTTTTACTCTTTCGATCATAATGATGTCCCATATAAAATTATTCGAAAATTGAAGCTAACAGAGTGACTTCGTTTGTGATTTTTGTTTCCCTTCTTTTGCGTCCGAATAAGGGAGATCCTTCTTGCAAAGGCAGGCTCATAGACTTGATGACAAGCCGTTAAATAATTTCTGTGAACTTTGGACAGTCGAAATTGATCGGCGTGGCTCTAGTGTAAGGTAAACTTAATGGCCGAGTATATCGGATGGTCAATCATCCGCAAGTTGGAGACAAGGCCAAGGCATTGCAACCAACGTCCCCACGCAAAGCTTCGGTAGAAAATGACGATCACGTGATTTGTGTTCAAAATATTTGAATGGACCAAAACGACCCCTACACCCCCCAATAAAAATAATCTCCACCCACCCCCATTTTACTTGAGTGTACCACTAAACACGGGAACCAGTCACTACAGTAATCCATGTTGTTGGCAATTCCAATACAACCTGGGACCTGGGGAAAGTTCTGGAAGTCTCTGTTTCATGATGTGACTGCCGCGCCAAGCACGTCCATGCTCGCGTGCAAAAAAACATTACAAGGGAGATCCGCATGTTTTAAAGAAAACCTGTTTTTGTTTGAAAACAACAATAACCTCGGCAGGGAATAACACGGGGGGGGGTTACCTACAGAAATCCGGAATGGGTTCCCCTGCTCTGGATTTCACCATGAATATTCCTGTTTACATAACAGGGGTATAAAAAAACGAGCCCTTGTTCGATACCGAGCGTAACTAGGATGTCGACAAAGATAGGCTGACGGTCACTATCATGAGAAAAGACACGGGCTGGGGAGCTTAGAAATCTTCTGACAAATATTTACCCGATGGTCCATGTTTTTTTTGTTTGTTCGGCACTAGCTGGATCGAGTTCATTTTGATCATGTCACGGGTCAACACTTCACCGTGCGCGTGACCCTTGCGCACCGAACATACAATGGATAGGGCAGCGAGCAAACCACGCACACCGCTTTGTGCGTCTGCATTATTCTGATCCTTTTCAAAATTTTAAGAAAGGTATTCCCCTCCCAGCGTCCTGCAAGGGGATGAGAGAAGAAAAATCGTTCGGTTCACAAAACCTTCGTGGATATACAGGTCGCAATCCTGCACTCTTTTCATTCGAGGAAAATGACAGGAAAGGGTCTTTATTTTACTGACTTCTTTCGGGGTTCGGATGCCCGCTCTCAATGTTGTGTTCCGGTTTGTATGTAGAATCATTTCCTTTGCATTACAAAGACTGTGTTGCTAGCCTAAAGTGAACAATGAAGAAAGAGCGCCCCAGGCCCTTCCGTGAACTCCTGGATCCGTCTCAAGATTTCCTGTTTCTCTTCTGTTTTTGCCTTGGTGAAAGGGGAATCCCCGATAACGTTGACGTAATGAGGCACTGCTCCGCTCTACTGCACCTCCTCGCCCTCTCGGGCTCGGGACCAAAGCGAAAGTGCGCCATCTATGGGTGTTAGTTTTTGCTCAACCCACCGTGGTAATCGAAAGTAATCGCTCACTGTAAACGCCACTACACCGTGCACCTTACTTCATATTAAACAAAGCGAACTCGAAATAGTTCCGCATTTATGTGAACCATGTTCTTTTCATTAGGTATTTTTAAAGGTTGACTGAATTGTTTGTGATTGTACCCACGCGTTCTCGGCGACTTGTGTCTGCAGCTAAATATTTACTTAGTGGGTGATAATAACAAATGGCACCCAGATGGAATTAACCGGCAGCCATTCGAACATTCATTTATAGTGACTCATTCTATTTTGTAAAAACTTTAAGTTGAGATTAGAAGACCACTGCATTTGCTGCGCAACAAAAGGAGACAATGGAAAGAATGCCGACGCATTGTTCCGCAAGCTGACACCTGTCCGCCTTCGGGCTCTCTTTCTTTGTTTGGAGGGGGTAAAATATGGACCCAACAAAAATCTAGGCCATTCATCTACATGTCAAGTGTTTTGTCCACTTTGCACTGTAACAATTACAGCGACGGAAAATAACAGTTGCGAAATTATAAATGCATGCCAATGGTTTTCCTTTTCTTCCATAATCAAGTTCACTTGTTATTTGCTCTCCTTTAAGTCACATATTTTCCCCCTCACAACTCGTGGGAGCACTTGAAATTCTCAATCCACTATTTATTCAGGTGGTTGAGCAAGGAAAAACATGTTTTGTTAATAGAAGTTGTTTGTCAATTTTGACGTCGATTATGCCGGACAAAATTCTCCAACCTGTCAATCACACTCCTCAGTTTTTCGTTTTGTTTAAGTTTGAAGGGTCTTAATTTTGCCACGTTTTCGTTAGTTCTGTAATAGTCTTGACAAACTCGCAATTGATCAACAAAATATAGCTTCAGATGAGCAAAATAACAGCTCCAATTCCTTCTTGGACTTTATTACTTAACATTGTACAAATAGGACAAAGGTATGTGCGGCATTTTGTCCGTTGTATGGAAGTTTGGAACCTGTACGATTTTTCTCTGATTAATTAAAGAAGCGGCTTATACATGTAAGGCCAAAAAATTATTATTCCCGGACAAAGTATTTAACAAACAACTTTCACAGTGCCATACAAAACATCACTTTTAGGCAAAGTTGCTTGCAATATAAATATATATACAATTTGAAAAATCAACTAATACAATTTGGAAAATAATATCTTTGGAAGTTTACATTGTGAAAAGAAATATCCCGAGAAATAAGACAGATTGTTGGGCATAAATTGTGACACCTCATAAATGGGGCTAATTCGTTTCAATGCAAACAGCAACTGGGAAATGTACAGATATCTCTTGTTCTCAAAGAGACCATTTAATTTTTTCATAGAGAGCTTCTCTGATTTGCGATCGACTCTAATATTACTGGAATTTTTAAATATAAACAATTGTGAATCTTTTCAGTTATGACACTCGGTGTAGTTGTCAGATTCCAGATGGGCTGTCTCATCTTCCATTCCGGAAACTGAGTTGGCGAAAGTACACTTGACATCACTGATTCTTTTCACTTTTTTTCCTCACTGTAGATCCTATGACTAAGATGAAAGATTATAAATTTGATAATCTCCTAATCCCTCACTCCTACCTACTTAAATCCTCCATTTCCCCTCCACCCCAAAAAAAAAGGATTTTGGGGGAAAAAAAGGATACAAATTTACCACACTGTATCGGTTTTTGCATTCCAATCCAAACCCCTTGTGTGGGAAAGGAATGCAGACTTTGAATGGACCAGTCAACCGTGACCAGACACAATGTCACCAGGGGCACATAGTTCAAACACTGTAAACTGCCTGACAAAAGAGGGCGCTATCACACTTTAACTGCTGAAATGAAAAAAAACCAAAAAACCCGATTTGGGAATGAGTCCCCGTTCTGGTGGGCTTGGGCAAGTCAGCAAGGCCATGAAGACGATCTTCATTTTTTAGTCATGGGTTCAAATCCGGGTAGCCCAAGCAGCCTATTACGGACTGCTGACCCACTCACAGCGTCATTCGCTGACGCCAGCTTCTCGAACTCTATAAGACGGTAAATATCACTCCCCAGTCGAAGCATACTTAATATACTTTTGCAAGACTCAGCTTGATTGAAATTCCCTCGTCAAACGCTGTGCACAATGTCTGTTGCTGCTTGGCCAACACAGCACTTGTTGGGGTTATGTGGAGGGGGCGTTGGCAAACCCGGGCACCCCCTTGTCCTTCAAGACTGACGCTTCTCTTTGCAAGACGTTGAGCAGCGAGTGGGAACTTTCAATGATCTGTGAGGTATTTAAGAAAGAAGAAACGTGTCAGAATCTTTGCTGTGTTTGTGATGAAAACAGTGACTTTCTCACAAGGATCTTAGAGCAAATGATTAGTCTCCATAATAAAAACATGCATCGTCAATTTCAGGAAAAGCCTTAGTTCTCTTCCACAAGAATACTGTTAACAAAGTCTGCGCAAAAATGTGTGGTTGAGTTTCATCTTTTGGATGCCGAATGCATGAGGCTGAATATTGTGCATTAGCGCCCTCTCTTGGTAAAGCTTTAGAGTTCTTAGCAAGAGATGGAACTTCCCTGGTACCCTTCACTTTGTCAGCAGCACTGAAACAAAGGACAGCTTCCACAAAGCAGCGCTGTTTCATCCATTGCTGTGTAAGTGACTACGAAGCCATCAACAGGGTGTGCGCAGTGGAAGCGACTTAATACTAGCCCGTGAAACCTGGTGTGCAACTTTTATTCAGTAGCTGGGGCGACCAATGATTCATGAAGAGGGGACAATGCAATACACCATTTAAGACATTTCAAAAACGGGAATCCATTATGTCGCTTCCATAGCTTAGTTGGTAGTGATTTGAACTACAGATCCATAGACCCTGGTTCGAATCCGACCCATTTGTGCTATTCATTTTCCAATTTTATCATTGTGTTTGGGATTTCCTTTTTCAATTGATGCAGAAACAGAGTCCAAGCATGAACCCTCTAAGAGTCTTGAGAAAAATAGCAGACCAGGTTTGACAGGTTAGTCTCTAGTCACTTCCGTGCGCAGAGGGGTGAGCTGTTTGTATCTCACCTTCATGTAGGCTGCCTCTGTCTCGGCGATCGTCTTGTCGTACTCGTTCCTGGTGGCAATCTTTTTGGCCAAGCTCTCGTTGACCTTCGTCAGCTTCTCAGTCAGAATGCGCAGGTCGGCCTGGATTTTCTGCTTCTCGTCCTCCTCGGCCACAATCTGCTTGTGGAGGTCGTCACGCTTTGTACAGAGCTCCTCGATGCCTGTCCATGATTGAAGGACCATGAATACATATAGGATATTTGACAAGTATGGATAAGCACACTCACCAAGTTCCTTGCAATCATCAAAAAACTACCTATGAAGTTAACTTACACGTGTATAAGATAACTTCAAAATCAGGGAATGATTTGAAACTTTGAATGAAATTAGGTCTAAGTTGTCTAGCAAATGTACTTATTTCAAACATGTCAAACAAACCAAGGTGCTTTGGGTGGTTTTCTTTAACAATAAACAGCAAGAACTTTCTTCACAGGTCAGTTATGCCACATGCCCAGTAACCATGGTAACAATGTACACCTGATACTAGTGATAGGGGTGATGGCCCAAGATGTCAAATTACTACAGATGATCGACAAACAAACACTATAAAGTAAACCCTACCAGCCTACTCAATCAAGTCAATCAGCATAACATGTAGCAGTAACACTGAAAAACATCTAAACACTAGTTCAGCACAATCTAGACGCTTTCGCAACTTTAATGTACTCCTTCCTGAGTAGACTATCCTACGAACAGGTTTCACTCAAAGGCAAATCAACTCTGGATGGAGTAGGCCCTACAATAAATTTGCGCAAGATCGCGCTGAACACTCATTTGAGAGTTACTGACATGACTGATTTAGCCTTCATTTTCAGTAACCTCTTGCATGTTCTCAATTCCTCTTAACTTACATTTTACGAGTTCATTATTGTATGATTGCAATGCTGCTCCTTGTTGAGACATTTTGAGTTTTGGACATCGAGAAACACATGTAATTTCACAAAACGTAAAATCAGACAGCAGTTGTGTGTTGTTGGTTGAGCCGAGGTAACTACGCGCGTATCCCTACTAGTCGGATACCCGGCCCCCTCTAGTTAATAAAGAATATTTTTTAAGCTTGGTTTCCAGCCTGCTATTTTCATGACGTCATACTCAACATGGCGGCGCCCATACAGGCAGGAATTTCTCTCTTAAGCTATTTTTAGTTTCTTCAGTTCTTTGAATAAAGGTGACATTCTCAGCTCATGTGTTCTTCAGTTCATTTGATATTAGTACAAGAGTAGCTTTTTGTCATGTCTGTCATGTATGTTGACGAAAATTTACTTTGCGTTCTGAAACTAATTTTACAGAAAACGACAAACAAACGTTACGCGCGTTAGAACTACATGTACTACAAGAACGTACATGTATGTACGTAGGGCGTACCCGTAGAACTACGGGTTCGTGGGAGCACAGCACGATGACAGCCCTCCGTAGTTCTAGGGGTCTGCCTCCATGGATAGACCATGGAGGAATGTTTGTATTACCTGCTGTTTGTTACCTGGCATGCTGGGGGGGGGCATAGGCGTGGGTTTGCATACTCGCACTATCAGTAGGAGTACTGTAACATTTTTTTTGCTTGATGTGTGAGTGTTAGTCATGTTGCATTACATGAATTTTGTGTTAACTTTTTTCTATCATGGGTTAATAAACCTTTTCCATGTTCGCAATGCATTATGGGTTTCGATGACAAGCAAGCAATGCATTTTATGCACAACTCTATGGGGGAAGTGAACCCCGAGTCAAAAATCAAGTTACAGTTTTCTACTAAATATTTTTTATGTATCTGCTCATCAACTCACAGATCCATGCGTATTATCAGATTATACAAGAAACATTTTCAAATAGGTTTTCAAATGTTTGTAAGAAGAAATCACCCTTAATTGCCCTTTTTTAAGGGCACCAGTCATGCTACGGGTAGAAAATGAACGTGACTGGTCAAAGCAGGATGAATAAGCTGCAAGTCGTAATTTTGATTGAACAATACTAGAACATTAATATTCACGACATTAGTTAGAGCACGGTCTGNGGGTAACTACGCGCGTATCCCTACTAGTCGGATACCCGGCCCCCTCTAGTTAATAAAGAATATTTCTTTAAGCTTGGTTCCCAGCCTGCTATTTTCACGACGTCATACTCAACATGGCGGCGCCCATACAGGCAGGAATTTCTCTCTTAAGCTACTTTTAGTTTCTTCAGTTCTTTGATTAAAGGTGACATTCTCAGCTCATGTGTTCTTCAGTTCATTTGATATTAGTACAAGAGTAGCTTTCTGTCATGTCTGTCATGTATGTTGACGAAAATTTACTTTGCGTTCTTAAACTAATTTTACAGAAAACGACAAACAAACGTTACGCGCGTTAGAACTACATGTACTACAACTTACAAGTACGTACATGTATGTACGTAGGGCGTACCCGTAGAACTACGGGTTCGTGGGAGCACAGCACGATGACAGCCCTCCGTAGTTCTAGGGGTCTGCCTCCATGGATAGACCATGGAGGAATGTTTTTATTACCTGCTGTTTGTTACCTGGCATGCTGGGGGGGGGGCATAGGCGTTGGTTTGCATACTCGCACTATCAGTAGGAGTACTGTAACATTTTTTTTGCTCGATGTGTGAGTGTTAGTGATGTTGCATTACATGAATTTTGTGTTAACTTTTTTCTATCATGGGTTAATAAACCTTTTCCATGTTCGCAATGCAGTATGGGTTTCGATGACAAGCAAGCAATGCATTTTATGCACAACTCTATGGGGGAAGTGAACCCCGAGTCAAAAATCAAGTTACAGTTTTCTACTAAATATTTTTTATGTATCTGCTCATCAACTCACAGATCCATGCGTATAATCAGATTATACAAGAAACATTTTCAAATAGGTTTTCAAATTTTTGTAAGAAGAAATCACCCTTAATTGCCCTTTTTTAAGGGCACCAGTCACTCTACAGGCTGAAAACGTGACTGGTCAAAGCGGGATGAATGAGCTGCAAGTCGTAATTTTGATTGGACAATACTAGAATATTAATATTCACGACATTAGTCAGAGCACGGTCCGTGACAAAAAGTGATGTTGTTGGAAGGAATTCTCCGAATTTTCCTTCTCTACCAAGCTTTAAACTTCAAAGTTTGTGAATAACTTCATCCCAAATCAATAATGCAGCACTTTGAAGGGGGTGGCTTGAATTGGAGTGTGAAATAAAATGGAAACAGATTAACGTTTTGCAGGTACACTTCTCCCGTAGGGTTGTGCATAAAATGCATTGCATGTATGTCCTCCAAACCCACAATGCATTGTGAACGTCAAAAAGGTTTATTAGTAGGGCTTACATAAGTTATCAATATCAGGTCGAGGACGTCATGTGCGTGTCCTTCAGTACTGAACACCCCTGTAGTATACTAAACAATAGGGGAAAGAGTTACATATGCCATACACACGTGCATCACTTGACCACTGACACCCTACATGCCCTGTCCACAAACCATATGAGAGAGTAAGAATTCCATTATGCAGCTGATTGTCCGGTTCCGTAAATGGAAATTGTCCGAGGCTCCTGGCGGTAGACAAACTTACTCTCACAAGGGTATTCATCCCAAAATATTCAGTTACCTGAGAGACTAAATGATTCTGGGCAGTCATTCAACAGACACAGGCTGCTAAGCTTTCTTCAGAGGTCGGTAGTTTGCCCAGTGCCGTCATGATCATGGTCATCATAAACGGTACCCACCAGTAACCACTTGCCTCTTCTGTCTGATCCATGGCAATCGACGACTGCTTTTAAAATCTGTAGATCTCCTACACAATTGACCAACAAGGCAATATGATCGACCAGTAGTGCAGAAACGGATTAATTAGATTGTGCCCAACGGATATATGCTGCATTCATGGACATGTTGCACGCCTACATTGTTTAACCACTGTTTTAAAAAAATTGTCATCAGTTATTTCAGAGTGAGAACCCTTCAGTGATGGCCAGCAAGGAGTTGAGCCTGTGGGTGCGAGACAGCTTGCATGACCTCCTGGGCATCAGTGACCACTACATAGCGGACTACCTCGTGGGCCTGGCGGGCAAGTCCAGCAGCGGTGGGGACTTCATCCGGAGGATTCAAGACACGGGAACTATCGACGTCAATGCCGCCGTCAACAAGTTTGCGCACAGACTTTGGGAGAAGGTCAGTACAAGTGCATTTCTAAAACACTGAATGTTTCAGACGTTATGCCTCCTGCTTGAAGTGGCTTGTACCAATAGACGGCATCATTTCCCTGCTGGAATGTAAACGCTTCTGAAAACTTTCTTCATTTGCTTGAGTACCATCGTCAGTACTTGCAGGAGGGTTGATTGAAGTAGACTCTGCTAAAATATGGGCCGTATGAGTGACAACCTCCTCAGGAGGTGAAGTGATTTGAGCTTACAAGTGACGCCTGTGTATTGCAGTTGTCCCTGTGCGTTGCCAGTCGCTCTCGTGAACAAACCACAAGTTTGTACTCAAACTGTTCACATTTACTTGCACACACTGCACCGAAGTAATAAATCTACCCTCAGTTGCCTCACAAATGAATGGAGCTTGGAGCGCCCTCCTGCACAAAGCCCAGAGGTAGTTCTCTCAAATTCATCCCTTTGTTTCATTCCTCGTGCTCCTAGCTTCCCCGCAAGGTGTCCAGCAAGGAGACAAACCGTGCTCGCGAGCGGGAGGCCATTGCGAGAACCAAACAGAACCAGAGCTACAAACTCCTGTCGGACGATGAAGACGATCTGACCGTGACGCGTGCCGTGCCGACGGTAAGTGGAATGTTCTGCGCCAGCAACTTGTCATTCAGAGTTGAAAGTGGTTATTCATTAAACCCAATTTGCCCCGATACCTTTGAAATTTGCAACGGGGTCTGGAAGCATTTTTGCTGCATTGAGGATGGCACAGCCCTGCTACTTTACTCAGGGGTGTTGTTCCTCTAAATGTTAACTGCAAAGAGTTAACTTCTCAGTGATGGATTGCAGACAATTCAGAAGTCTCTTTCAAAAATGTCCGAGGAATGATCTATTAAAAACAATTTAAAAAATGGTTGAGGCTCAACTCAGTTCCAGTCTGGTTTTTGTATTCCCATGAATTGGTTTGAAGCGTCACCGTCATTGTGGCGTCACTGTGTTTTTTTTTCCAGAAGCGAGATAACCGGGAGAAGGGAAGCAAGAGGAAGCACATCCGAAAGAAGAAAGAGGAGAGCAGCGAGAGTGACAGCGACCCTCAGCCTGTCAGGTCAGTCTCTAGTCATCAATTTTGAAGCCACACTTCTGGTATCTACATCCTGATTGGATAGGTTTTGCATCCTTGGCTCTACCAAAAGGGGGTGGATACCTCTGTGATTCCATTTTCATGTTAGTAATTTTCTGGGTTTTTGAGTAGTGCTGAGTGATGACTCATGGGTTTGAGATGTAGAAGATTTTACATAAATAGCCCTGGCATAACTATTGAGATCATCTCGAGACCAGACCCAAGTAATGGCTGAGCAATTACGAGGAGAACTTTTGTTGCCGAACAACTTGTGACTTGAATTCAGACTGGAGGTCTTGTGTTGTTCTGATGTGGTCTTGTGATGGTCTTCAGAGGTCTCGACCTCAACATTGATCTGAGTGACCTTTATACCTCATCCACAAAATGTCCAAGCGTCACAAGACCCTTCCCCCACTTCACCAAATGATCCAAGCGATACAAATTGGTTGGCAATTACTTGTCCTCTCCATGGTAAACTTTTATGTTCTTTAACCCTAACACTCCTCAGTCCTCCAACAGGTGAAGGATTGAGGAGGGTTAGGGATAAAGTACATTTGCTTTCCAAAGTGAGCTCTGCGCAACTGGTTGATGTTTTATTGCAGGACGAGCAAACACGCGAAGCGGGAGCCCACCTCAGGCTCAGAGTCCGACGAGTGGGACAGGGAGGAGCGAGAGAGAAGACGTGACCTGGAGGAGAGGGATGCATTTGCCGAGCGCCTCCGAAACAAGGACAAAGAGCGCACCAAAAACGTCACCGACAAAGGAAGCAAGAAGGCAAGCCTTGTGGTATCTTAACATGTTATCAATTTGCACAGCTCGTCAGTCAAGATGGTTTTTGTAGAGATTGCTCATACGTTGCCTAGATTAAGCAACTTTCTGTGAAAATTTGCAGTCTGAGATCTTGTTTGCTGTGGCAAAGCTTTATCGGTGATATAAGAAAACGGGGGATATCTCTTGTGGAGGGTTGGATAAGTAGATAGTTGACCGCCTGTAGTTCGTGAAGGGTTGTATAAGAATCAGTCTTTGAATAAGGACTTCACAAAATTCACAACACACTGGTGCGTAGTCTCAGTCTTGCAAGCATCAGCAACATTCTGAAGTAGAGAAATGAAACTTCGTCGCGCGTCCCACTAGTCCGCTGTCAAGCTGCAGACAATTTGCCTGTGTCCGTCTGAAGCACCTCCTTATGATCAGCCATGCCCGGCTTCAACAGTGCCCTTCTCCCTCATGTTCTCATGACAAGTCTCCTCGAAACACCCTTTACAGGCTTACGAAGAGGCCAAGAAGAGACTGGAGATGGCAGAGCAGGACCGGCGGAAGCAGGTCCCCGACCTGCGGAAAGAGTCACGCCGTGAATACCTTAAGAAACGAGAGGTAGACAAACTTGAGGAGCTGGAGGCCGACATCGCTGACGAGGAATATCTCTTCTCATCAACTGAGTAAATACCCTGGGCTTTTCAGTACTTTTTCAACTGTTGAATTCCATTCGAAGCCCGCTATTTAAAATTTTACTATAATCTGCCGACTGCTAAAGGGACGTAGGATTTTCAGAGCCCTTTTGGGACCATTTTGGCGATGTGTCATGTGTTCTAGATCTTGTGCTTGAGATACCCGGGGCTCGGTATAATCAAAGTACGTGGCATCTGGGATTTCAGATTTGGCTTTTTTTTTGTGCATCTAGATTGACTTCCAGAGAAAAGAGAGATCTGGAATACAAGAAGACAGTGCTGAAGTTGGCCCAGGATCACAAGTCGGCCGGGGAGAAGCAGAAAGAAGGCAGGTACTACATACCCAAAGAGGATGAGGTAGGGGTTGTCCAATTTCTTCATCGTTTTGATATGAGCTGGGAAACATTAAAGACACTGCTTTCTTAATTTCAGTTCTGGAGAAGTGTATTGCCTTGTTACATCAATCCTCAACTCCGTTTTTACAAGGGTGGGATTTCTCAGAAATGTTGCATTCTCTTGGATTTTTGACCCCATAATTTATGGTTTTTGGAGGTTTAGTCATTCATATTGTGCTGCTTTGTAGCAGTTTGTACGAAAAACCCAGGGGTAGAATCCAGATAACCATGATTCACTTTGGAGAGAACCCTCCCCTTTGTTAGCTATTCACTTTATTCCGTTACTCTATTCACTTTGCTAGCTAGTCACTTTATTTATTCGTGTCAGTGCCACTTCCCCCTGCTGAATATTTTGTGAATTACTCTTCATCTGCCAATTGCAGCCCTGATTTTTGTTTTTTCTCAGAAACCCTCAGACAAGTACATCGAGCCCGTGCTGGAAGAGGCGGAGCTTGGGCCCAGGTCCGAACAGCAACGATGGGAGGAGGAACACGTGAAGTTGGGCTCCATGAAATTTGGAGCCAAGGACGCCAAACAGAAACACAAGGTGTGAAGATGCTTCACAATATTCACTGCCTAGCAGTGACGATCCACTGTGGTTACCCAACTGCTGTGATCTGAAGGTCCTAAATTTGAAAAATTGACGACGACGCTCGCTGTCGGGTTCCAGCTGGAGTAGTTCTTGATAAAGGCAGCCAAATACAGTTTGTTCTCGTCAGTTGCTCATGATTCTAGTTTAACCCCTTCACGGCGGGATTATTTTGACCGCGACTGCTGGGCTGTGGTATGACCTGAATGGAGGGCTTTGTCCAGCAGCAGGCCCCATTGAACCAGCAGCTGCGTGGTAAATAGACTGTATGCGTTGTATGCACTAATCCTCACACAACGGTGCGGTAGTAGCAGGCCTCCGTAGTGAAGGGGTTAAGTTTGTAAATATTTGGCATTTGGCAATACTGGCAACTTGCATTTCAAACCCTGCAGGATTTTTTGACAGGGTTAGGTGGAGTATTGTGGCATTAGTCTAACCTCTGGCGTTTGGGCCTTAAACTGCCTGGTTCGTACCTGTGGAAAAAAAAAATTTGGATCTTACTTCAGAGTATTCAAGATTGCCAGGAATTTTGTGCCGTGGGAAGTGCAGGTGCAGTGTTGAATGGAGTGGATTTGTCTTGAACAGAATTTTATCATTTTATCAGCGTAATTAAAGTCCCCTCACTTTGCGGTTAAGGAGGAACAAGTGAAGAGAGTTTGGTTTTTTTCCCTCATCCCTGCACAGACTAGGGAGTACGATCTAGTCGTGGACGAGTTGGGCGAGATTGAGTTTGTCAGTGCAATGCAGATGCCAGGAACTCGCGACAGGGTAAGTCACACAAGCCCCTTGATAACACTGCATACCATGATAAACCCGTCCTGAAACATGTGAATGTTTGGCTTCGTCCCCTTTGCTAGCGTGATTCAGGCCTATCGTTCCAAAATCAGACTGACGAACTGTAAATTGTCGTCTTACAAATGACACCAACACAAACACGACAGCACATATTCAACATCTTTCATTGTGCGTTGCTACCAAAGCCCTCCACTGACAAAATTCTTCAATTTGGATCTCTTTGAGATATGAAACTCAGCGGTGGGGGGAGGAATTGTCAAGTGTGAACGTGACCTTTTTCCGCCAGGTTTTGGGTTGATGGGTCACAAGTTGTAAGGCAGAGTGGTACTCGGTGTCATCCAAGAGCCTGGCTGGGTGGGACTGGAACCTGTGACCTCCCTCTTGCTAATGCTCATGTTAGAACCACCTGACAACCAAGCTTGCTAGGGTCATGTCGCTGGTTCACATTCATTCAAGCAGCTGGCTTTACAGTCAATAACCACGGATGGAAAAAGTGTCTTTAACCCTAACTCCCCAGAGTGACTTACTAGGAGCCATACCCATTCACACAAATTCCAACACCATATGGTAAACTGTGCACAAAAACTGTTAGACTCTGTTTATTTAGGGTATGCCTGAACCCATGTTAAAGCACAAGCAGTTTAGGGGTACAGTACCCAGTGCCACAAAGTCACACACTTTACTGGTGTTCCCTTCTGTGTGGTTAGGGAAGGTTAGGGTTAAGGGCTGAGGGAACTTTGAATAGCCCTGTGTACTGATGACACAACACTGTGTTTACTGCAGTGCATTGTGGGATAGAATGGGAGTCGTCAGTGCAATACACTTCTCATAAACATGTGTACGATTACCTGTTTTCAAAAGGCAGTTGCTTTATGTAATCCTAATTTCAAATCTTCCAGGGAATAGTTTCCGTGATTGGAAATGTTAAGATTGTGCCAGTTACTTACATGGGATTAAGCGTGTGTGGTATTTCCCCTACTTATGGCATACGACGGCCAGGTACGCCCTACTGTTCATCCCCATCCTATCCCAGCATGCACTGTGGTAAACGCAGTGATACATCGTCAGTGCATATGGATATCGATGGTTTCTGTCTGTGCTTTCAGTCGGAGCCCGAGGAACCCCAGATCTCCGAAGCCCAGAAGAAACGCATCAGCATCGCCGAGACTCGCAAGAGCCTACCCATCTACCGGTTCCGGGACGACCTCCTCCAAGCTATCCATGACCACCAGGTGCTAATCATCGAAGGGGAGACGGGATCGGGAAAGACCACTCAGATACCACAGTACCTCTATGAAGCGGTAGGTGTCCTCAGTATGGAGCAGAAGTCAGGACGCCAGACAACCATACAGCAACTAAGCACAGAAACCAGCTCAGGCTGTGTCTAAAGTACTTAGCTACAGCCTGAAATTACGCACCAGTCTATGGTAGTGGCCGTAGCCAGTTCCCATAGAGTCATGTGTACTTTCAAGCCGCAGCCAAGTGAGCCGGACACAGCCTAAGCAGAGAACGTAATGTCCTTAGCAGGAACGGGTTATTAACCAAAGACATGTGCAAATAGTATCATATCTGACCGGTTCATTGCTGATTCATGCTTAGCACAAAAATTTGCTCTGCAATCACGACTGCTCAGGGTTTCCGTGAAATTAAGCCCGATTTTCTTTTTCGTGCAACTAGCTACTCCTGCTTATCGGTTTTGATATTTTTGGTTCATGTCTAGGGCTACACGAAAGGTGAAAAGAAGATCGGCTGTACCCAGCCCAGGCGTGTGGCAGCCATGAGCGTGGCTAGCAGAGTAGCGGAAGAAATGAACTTCAAACTTGGAAATGAGGTAGGGGAAAACCTCAAACCCTGCACTCCCTGCGAGCAACTTTCATCTTTTCTCTATAATTGGCGTTATTCCATGCTCCTTTTGTAAACATCTTTGCTCGGAGCTCAGAAGCTTCTTTCTTTGTATCAGAAAGAAGAATATTCCGTTCTGACTATTGCCCTGTGTTTGGCTTTGCTCAGGTCGGCTACAGCATTCGTTTTGAGGACTGTACGTCAGACCGAACGATTTTGAAGTACATGACGGATGGTATGCTGCTGCGAGAATTCCTGAGTGAGCCAGACATGGCGGGCTACAGGTAATGACACTTCGGGACTTCCTTAGCAGGCACTTCTTTTTTCTGAGAATACAGGTCCTGGGTGCTGATCATACAAACATGATTATGTCTGGATATGAGCTATAACGATGCTTTAAACGGGTACACATTTCCCATTTCTTTTGCCACTGACTAAGTTGGGAGTTTAAATACGATTCCAATCAATCCCAACTGCTGCAACAGATCACATCACATCTTTTACAATGCATTACCAAAAAAAATCTGCCATCTTTGAAGCCAAGCCGTGTCGAAATTGGGCACCCTGCGACTAAGGCTTCAGTCTTTGCAATTGAGTTGCTATAGGTAAATGTCACAGCCACAGCCAACACTGTCCATTTGTGGACATGCCTTGGCGTCAAAGATGGCAGATCGATGAGGCTTGTTGGAACTGTAAATAAAAATGGGTGTAGACAATCAGCTGGACCTTTTTGCTGACAAAGAGGAGGAAAAGAGGGAGGTTTTGATTTGGAGGTTTATATTACCTGAAACTTCTGACTTTCTGTGTTTTTTCTACATTTGGCAGCGTCTTGATCATCGACGAAGCCCACGAGCGCACCCTCCACACAGACATCCTGTTTGGCCTGGTGAAGGACATTGCCCGCTTCCGGCCTGACCTCAAACTTCTCATCTCCAGCGCCACGCTGGACACTGACAAGTTTGCCGAGTTCTTTGATGACGCCCCGATTTTCCGCATCCCCGGTCGCCGGTTCCCAGTAGATTTGTTCTACACAAAGGTACATAGGGTACCAGGCTGCGGATCAAGTCTTCCAATAAATTTAGTGAACTTGAAGGAAGGACAGTGTTGGATAATACGTTTGCCATAACGTATCATGTCATTATTGTAAAGGAGGATTAAGTGTTGCAGGGTTACTGACCAGAATTACTACTCAAATGAAGTTAACCACTTCCTGCCGGGGCAGTTATCAATGTTGATGATGCTGTGCTGGGATATTTATCATTTTTTTCTGTTTTCAAAATTCTTTAAAATTTCCTATCTTCATATACTGGACATTTACAAACACGTGAAGAACTGTCTGGTGACCACTCTAGCCTGACAGACAAAATCTAGTAACGCCTGAGTATTTCAGCCAGGCCTGCAGCCTTGTAAAAAGAGGCCCGATTGTGCGGTGTTATATAACTTTCTTTTGTTCACGAACCTGGCTCAGTGTGCCGCTGACCTCTTTTCAATAGGGGCCAGATTAGCATGCAGCGGTGCTGTATGGCTCATCGCTGTGGTGGTGGAGCGCTTTTGTCCCCGGTGGTAATCCGCTCGCTCTAAATGCCCCAAACCGTGGTATACGGTTTCAAAACAACGCTGGATTATCTCCCCTTTTGAGAGTGAAAAAATGTCGGTAATTCCCAGCAGTCTGGTCTTTTGTTACAAGGTCCTGTTCCCTTTGTCCGAGTTCGAAGACCCTGGCTATGCATATAAAGCAAACTTGTCCGGATCCCGAATCCCGGGAGGGAGTGGCTTAGGACCTCTTTTTATTTTGTGTATACTGTTTTTCTATGAGATATTTTACTGCTGAAAATGTGCATTTAATGTTTTTAACCATTTAAAAATTTTGTATTCTAATGAGAACACCATCTAGACAAACAAAAAATGAAAGACCAAGACCCCACTCATTGCTTGGAAAAATATTACCAGTTAAGAAAAAAGTGGTCCTTATGAAACTTTTTTGAGTAGTATATCTTAGCTAATGTTCTCACTTTGCAAATGTCAGAATGAATATTCACGAGGACTCTGCGTGACAAGTCATTTTGATTGGCAACAGGTTGTTGCAAAGCAAACTTTTTCTTCAGTTCTATGTGACTTTATCGTCAAACAAAATTAAGTTATTTTACTCCGCTTTTCGTGCAATTGGGCAGATGCCACTTTTCTTCGCATCAAATTCTTTGATGGAGAAAAGAAGAAATTGCTGACCAAATAATTGTTGGCTCGGCACCTTTCTGAATCCTCAAAGTTTGTCCACGGTGTAGAAAACTATTGACACATTCCTTGTACTTGAATTGTCAAGGAGCATCAAGCCCTATCCAAGTAACAGTGGCTGGGCTCTACCTTCCTCAATCCTGCATAATCCTCCTGTACCTGATGACAGATTGTTGAAGATCTGAGCAGGTGAAGGTTACAGAACATTGGAAATGTCCCAGTGTTTTGGCTGTGTCTCAGCCACTTCCAGTAGACCTGTGTATTGCTGTTAGCCGCAGCCAAGCCAATTAGACACTGCCCTGAGCTAGTCTGTGCATCTTTCCTCGCAGGCGCCAGAGGCTGACTATTTGGACGCCTGCATCGTCTCTGTTCTTCAGATTCACGTCACCCAGCCCATGGGGGATATCCTGGTTTTCCTCACCGGTCAGGAGGAAATTGAGACCTGCATGGAGATATTGCAAGTAAGTAAACTTGAAAACTCCAACCCCAAGTTCCTTTCCAGTGATTTTTTAATTTTTGAATCGACTTACAAAACTCAGCGTTTTGAGTCGGTTAGGGTTCCATTGGATGTGACTGGGCATTGATATGAGTTTTGGCACAGAACTGGCCAATTTCGAAGAGAAAATTGCCTTTTGTTTGTTTCAGATGTGTAGGTGCAGACGGTTTGATAGCTATTAGTCAAGTTCCATGAGGAACAGTCAATCACTTGTTGCTTTTACGTGGTACCCGGGATGTATTTCATGCACAGGTTACCAGGGAAAATTAACCAGCAGTCAATAAATAGCTTGCCGATTAAACTTGGCCTTTGAGACCAGCAGTCAACAAGAAAACAGAGTTGCAGATACATATTCTCATGCCTCTTTCATTAATTCTTTTTAGGAGAGAGTTCGGAAACTCGGCACTAAGATCCGGGAGCTGATCGTTCTCCCGATATACTCCACCTTACCCTCGGAGCTCCAGGCTAAGATCTTTGAGCCCACGCCCCCCGGCAGCCGCAAGGTGGTCCTGGCCACCAACATCGCCGAAACATCGCTGACCATCGACGGAATCATCTACGTCATCGACCCGGGTTTCAACAAGCAGAAGAGCTACAATGCCAGGACCGGCATGGAGTCATTGGTGGTGACCCCAGTGTCAAAGGTCAGCTTGTAGAGTTCACAAGTCAAAATCTGCTTTTTGCAAAAGTGTGAAATTACTTTGATGTTGGATGCTCTTAATAAAAAGTAGCAACAAATGAGCCTCTTTATTTGTATTTCCTCATTAATTTCTAAAGTTTGAGATCTCTAAATGCGGGGAGCATGTGCTATTGAGGGCGCTATGCTGCCAAGGGAAGAAAACCAACCGGTTGGAATGTGCTGTTTGCAAGTCTGGTTTTCAGACCACAGTCAGATCAAAGTCCGTGCAGCACGGTATATACATCTAGTTTATGCACAATCTTTAACAGTGCAATTGTGTTGAATCAAGCATTTATGCATCCTGAAGTGAACTCGTTATCAACACCGAGCAGCAACTTAAGTTATTACAAATCCATCATGCGCATGTAGTGTACCCTTGACACTTGGGGTGTCTGTGAAGGATTTTCACCAGACGCTTTCTTACACGTGTGCCCTCGCCTCCAGACCTCAAACCTGCCGGCAAAATGGCTTTGGAGTTATATCCCCAGAGCAGATTCCCTCTCATTAGACTGTAACTTTGTTTTATGCAGGCTTCAGCCAATCAGAGAGCTGGAAGAGCAGGCCGCGTAGCTGCCGGGAAGTGTTTCAGACTCTACACGGCCTGGGCTTACAAGAACGAGCTAGAAGAAAACACCATTCCTGAGGTAAGTCTGTGCCCTGTCTCTTTACAGAACCTCGGCTCTCCTGAGTACGCGTCAAAATCGAAAAAGTCTGACTCGGACTCCTGTTGGCGTATTCGTATTCTCCTCACCTTTGACCTGTGTGGCCCATGTTCACATCCAACCCAAACCAGCATTCAAAGTGGGTTCTGATGCCCTACGGCATGTCATTCCGGGATTTCTTCTCTCCTCCAAAACTGTCTTTTTTTCTTTTACAAGATAACTCGTTGATGAATGAATAAATTAGAAATACTGTGTGTTTTAGGAGCCTTAATTGATGGATGCTCAGAGCTGTGGCATCCAACAGGCACTGTGCCCGGGGCTTACAAAAAAAAAATACTTGAATCTGTGAAGAATTTGATGGACCTACCAAAAGACAACTGTCGGCTTCTGATTTTGAAATGTTCATTTTTGGAAAAGTTTCAAATGAACTAGTAGATGGCACACCTGTAAGCATTAACATGAAGCACGAGGCCACAACTAGGGTGAAATTCCTTAGGGGCATTCAAGGGTGCACACATTGTTCCGGGGGGTGGGGTGGAGGGTTGTGCACATCTCAACATTTTCAGATGGGGGGCACCTGGGGTAGGGGACTTATGTGGGGCACGTAACCCCCCCCCTCCCAGTGATGGCAATGGCTCCCGCACTTCTTAGGAATGGGAAATTGGTGTTGGTACCTATGACTGGCATGGCCTACGGAACGGGGGCCGACAGAATGCCTAATCTGGTCCCCCATCGTGCTAGAACTGAATTTTTGGAACTTTGAGGGATATAAGTTTTTCCCGATGTACTGCTGTGTAGATTCAGAGGACCAATTTGGGCAACGTGGTGCTCCTCTTGAAGAGCTTGGGAATTAACGACCTCATCCACTTTGACTTCATGGACCCACCGCCTCACGAGACCCTGGTCTTGGCCCTTGAGCAGCTCTATGCCCTGGGTGCGCTCAACCACAAAGGGGAGCTGACTAAAATGGGCCGACGGATGGCTGAGTTCCCCGTTGACCCTATGCTGTCCAAGATGATCCTGGCCTCGGAAAAGTGAGTGCTCTGGCCTGAGTTTTTTGGGGAGGGAGGCCTTTAAAGCAGGAAACGTTGCTTTATTTTTGTAGTAAGCAAAAATGAGCCGAGTGCCAATCATAGGGGATGCACAGCGTATTCCCAAAAATAGCGCAAGGAAATGTTAACCATTTTAAACAAATGCCAACTGTCAAATGTCAGAATGTTGGATCTGACATCACAAAATCACATTCATGTTCAATTTTGACCTGGCCTTTGGGAGGCTATGGCTCAATGTACACCTATTCACTTGTGTATCAAGAGTACGAAATTGTGATACAAACGAGCATTTGAAGTCTTTTCATGGAACACAATTAGTGACAGCACGCAGATGTCAGGGAAGCTCAGATGAGCCCGCCGGTTCAGAATTGACCCTGATTCTAAAATCGCCCAAGCACAATGACACGAATACAGAGAGGTTACACTCCTCGTCTCCAGGTACCAGTGCACCGAGGAGATCCTTAGCATCACTGCCATGCTCTCGGTCAACAACGCCATCTTCTACCGGCCCAAGGATAAGATCGTCCATGCTGACAACGCCCGGGTCAACTTTTTTGCCCCCGGAGGGGACCACTTGACCCTCCTCAATGTCTACAACCAGGTGGGCGTGGTCACTGGGAAGAATCTCGTTTCCCTCTTCCATTTTTTGCATGTTTTGATTTTTGAACGCGATTTTTGTGACAAATGGTGGAGGCAGTCTTTGTCCCTGGGAGCTTCCCAGAAAGTTTCCAAGGTTTGTTCATGACTTTTTGGAGCTAGGAAGAGCTTCACACCAATGTATACTCAAGACAACGGTACTCTAGAGTAGGGACCTGGTCATGGACCCCAAATTACCACTTTATAACAATGGTACAGTCAAGTGCTCTGTTCCTCGCTAAACTTGATGCGGACCGATAAAGCCATCTGTATATATCTGTACTGTGTGTGGAGCAGTCAGAAATTCTGTGGTTTTAATTAGTGTCAGGTAGTTGCAAGGTGTAAAAACTTGTCTTGTGTTTATATCTCCCTACCTCTTTACCTGTTTCTTTGTTTTTTCCTAGTGGGTTGAGACAGATTTCTCTACCCAGTGGTGTTACGAGAATTTCATCCAGCACCGGTCCATGAGGCGAGCGAGGGACGTCCGAGACCAGCTTCGGGGTCTTGTAGAGAGGGTAGAGATTGCACTGACGTCGGCACCTCATGACAACATCACGATCAGGAAGGTAAGGTCACACCACAGGGACTGCCCCCCTTCCCCCAATGGTCCAAGGTGTGCATCGGCTGCTTGTGGGAATAACACTGACCCTTTGCCAGATCTGGGCTTTGTTCTGATGTCATCGGTTGATGTTCTGGTGATAAAACATCACCCTTAATGTCAGGGGTATAGCATGAAGCTGATAGAAAAGCATCAGGCTTGTCCCCAATCCCACTGTTATTCTCCACACCCCAAGAGGAGGGGAAGGTACCAGTCTAGAAGTGAGCCCTTAACCATATGCTGCTGTTTTCCAAGATATGCTGCTGGATCTAAATTGAAGCTGCATGACAAGTTCCTGGGGAATTTTCAAGATTTTCCATTCTCAAAATTCTCCAAAATTTCATTACGTCATTTACTGGACGTTTACACCCACACAACTGACTGTCTGGTGGCTACTCTAATCTGACAGACAACCTCTATTGATGCCTGAGTATTTCAGCCAGGCCTACCGCCTTGTAAAGAGAGCCCAGATTGTGCGGTATTGCGTACTTTCCTTTGGTATTTTCCGAAACTGGCCCAGTGCGCTGCTGGCGTCGTTTCAAATGCAGCCAGATTAGCCTGCTGTGGTATTGCATCGCTCTTCCCTGCAGCACTGAAGCACTTTTGTCCCCGGTCGTAATTCGGTCACACTGAATGCCACATATAGTGATATACCGTTTCAGAAACCAATGATGGATTACCTCCGTTATTGACAACTGAAAAAATGTTGGCAATTCCCAGCAGCCCAGTCTTTTGTTACAAGTCCCAGCTCCTTTGTCCGATTTCGGGCACCCCGGCTATGCGTACAAACCTAAGGTCTCTGGTTCCAGGCACCCCAGCGCTAAGAGGTTAATACCGGATTCTGTATGCTTTTACCACAATAGAGTGTCACTAAATACCAGCCACGTGGCCTAAGTTTTAGAGTATGGCTTGGCATTGTTATTTTCTCTGGTGCTTCCGTGTCAAGGGTACAGCCTTACCCACGTTTGCTGATTGTGTGACTTAAAGGCCCCCCAAAAAATACTTGGTCCCTGGTCAGACCAATCTTCCAGAATTGATGCAGCAATGCAGTTTTTTGGGGGGATGGGGTTGGCTTTTTAAGACTGGCAACGGACACGGAAATGAGTGGAATATTTAATCAAAGAGCAAAGGCTAGTAGTAGCACGTTGCATGTCATGCCACCATTGTTGTTGATCAGCTGGCTGCAACTTTGTAACCTACCCATGGTCTACTGTTTGTGTTCGACATCAACATTAGACAGTCGTAACGGATGTATCAGCGACTACGAGCTACCCATAAATTAGTTTGGTTCCTTGAATAAATTGCCCTTCTGACTTGTGGCCAGGAATCAGTCTACTCGTGAACATTCAGGCAGTGCAGAAAATTTTGAGAAAAAAATTGATGCGCACTTCCAAAATCGACGCGCGCTGACCAGAGACTGACTATTTTTTGGGGGGGGGGCCTAAGGCCTTAATATGTAACTTGAAACTCATTTGACATCCCTGTGTCATTTCTGTTTCATGTCTTGTGTCAGGCCATCACTGCAGGGTTCTTCTACCACACTGCCAAGTTCAGCAAGGGGGGCCAGTACCGGACGGTCAAACACCAGCAGACGGTCATGGTCCATCCTAACAGCAGCCTGTTTGAGGAGCAGCCACGCTGGCTCATTTACCACGAGCTGGTCTTCACCACCAAGGAGTTCATGCGACAGGTGCGACAGACCATTCTGAGATCTTGAGGAGCGCTATGTCTCAACTTATAACTCACTTTGTTATTGACTCTGAAACCACTAAGCCAACGGGGAAACTTTGAACTTTCAGTGTCAAGGAAAATGATATTGCTGTAGCTGGAACGGGAGGCTTGGGTTGAGGTGAAATCTCAAAAAGTAGAGATCTGAGTGAGTGAGCGAGCGAGGAAGTGAGCGAGCGAGTGACCAAAGACAAAGCTGGAACACTTTGCACTGGCTGTAGCTGTTGAGTCTGTGCAGGAGTTCTTAACGGGGCATTTTGGAAGCATTGTTTGTGTACCATTCATGTTCCCACTTGTCACACAGGTTGGAAAACTGTTGTATTTATAAACTTTGGTTTAGTCTTTAATAGTTTTCAGAACCTGGAATACTTCTCAGATTGTTCCAAGTGTTACAGACTAGCGCTTGTTAGATGAAAGGTAGTCAGACCATGTTAGATGGCACCATCTGTGTTGGATGCTAGAATCAATTTTTCTTTCCCACTTTTGTTGTTGGCAGGTTATAGAGATTGAGAATGCCTGGCTGTTGGAGGTGGCCCCCCACTACTATAAGGCCAAAGAGCTTGAGGACACGTCCAGTAGGAAGATGCCCAAGAACACGGGCAAGAGCAGGGAGGAGACCAGAACGTGATGTCTCCAGGAATGCGTCATGGCCAGCCGGCCGGCCGCGTCCTGGGGACCGGCAGTCTAATGTTGAGACTGTGGGAGGGGTATTCCTGATACGTTGCGGTGGATGCACGGCGCAGATTATCAGCCAGGACCTTCTGCCTACACCCTGCAAAGTCCAGCAAGTGGATTTTTCTTGGAGGATATGGTAGGATTGAGGATGGGAGAGCCTCGATACGGTGACTTCTCATCTGGGCTGGATGCACGAGGATAACAGGCGATGGATTACTCATAACCAATGCAAAAGTCTGTCAAAATGTGACAGGCTCTCTTGTCTGGAGTACTCAAGGCTGCTAACATCTAGATTGGGAAACAATATTGTATCATTAACGCCATGCTGCCGGGTGCTTTTAAAAATGCAGTGCATAATTTTCAAGATTTTCAGTTTTAAAAATTCTTCGAAAATTCATCATTTCATTTCGTGGACGTTTACACCCACAAAAAGGACTCTTTGGTGGCTACTCTAAGCTGACAGGTATAAACATTCATTGACTCCTGAATATTTCAGCCAGGCCTGCCGCCCTGTAAAGAGAGCCCAGAATTGTGAGGTGTTACGTAATTTCCTTTGTCCCCAGTGAATGCGAGTGGCGTCTTTTCAAATGCGGCTGGATTAGCATGCAGCAGTGCTGTCTCGCTCATCAATGGGGCCCAGGAGCACTTTTTTCCGCAGCGTTAATCCGCGGGCGCGCTATGACCCAAAACAGTGGTATACTGTTTGAAAACAGTGACGGATTACCTTAGAAAAATGATGGCAATTCCCAGCAGCAGGTCTTTTGTTCTGAGTACGGTCTTTTGTTACACGGACCAGCTCTTTTGTCCCATTTCGGGCACCCCAGCTCTGCATTTGAACCCATGGTGCTCGAAACAAGGTTCTCCGGCAGCAAGTGGTTAAACCATAGAAGGCAATTTAGAGGACACTGATTTGTGCGCATAATGTGGAAAAACCTGGATCTTTCAGGAATGCAGGTATGTGTAAGTCCATGATGGCAGCGGTACTCAATTATCTACTCCATTATTGTAACGCATGTTAGGGCTGCCTGTAATTTGTCTTGTTTGGATTTTCACCACGGCTTAGCTTTATCTTGAATATTTTTCTTTCTAAAGAAATAAAAATAGGTTTAGGTATGCATGTATGGCAGCTTCCATTTTTATGCTCTTACGATTATTTGGCTCCGGTTTTGGTCAGCAGAGACGTAGTCGAAAATTGGCAAAAAAATACATGGTTTTGTTAATCTCAATCCTTCTTTTTCCATATCTTTAAAAATTATGGATTCATCAATATTGGAAAATGTTCCCTCTTCCATTCAGGGACATTTCTGAGTCATTTACCTAAAAGTAAATTTTTGACCAACTTTGATTAAAAATGCAAGGTTAACCCCTTGCAATTTTTGATTTTTTAATTTTATCTATACCCTTTTGAAAAGAAATTGCTAACTGGGATGACAAGGTCCATGAGACACATTGGACAAAGGCAAATGTGCTATTTCTAAGGAGTAATGTAAATATTAACTTTTTTCATTGCCCAAAGCTTTGAAACAAGTGACA